AACCACTGAGCCACCAAGGCTCTTCATGATGGACCCAAGGAAGTGAAAAAGGTCCAAGGGCAAAGAGTGAGGCCAGGAGTTCACGTAGTGATTTTAGGTCATGTTAAAAATGTTTTGTCAAAAAAAAAAAAAAAAATGTTTTGTCTTATCCCAAGAGCAATGAAAACCTAGTAAAGAGTTATAAGCAAATATGAGAACAGATTTGTGTTTGCAAAAGATCAGGGTGTGATAAAAGCTAGGGGATAAAAAAAATTAGGGGCTAGGAGAAGATCTTTGGCAGTAATTATTTCAAAAGGGTTGTGGCAGTTACGTAATCTCCTCAACACAAGCTAAGGGGTGTAGTCTAGCCTGTCAGTCAGGTCGCAACTTGATGACCTCATTTGGAGGCACCACAAAGATAAATAGCTCACTGAAGACCAGACCTAGTCTCTCTCTTTGCCTTTCCTTTCCTGCTGTTGAAACACTTAGAGAACTGGAGGAGACACGTGGAGACCCGTGCCAGTGTTCAGATGCTTCCACTGCCACTAGATCCACAAAACCTTCTACCCACTGGCTTGTGATCTTCCTGCGTTCGGCATCATTGCATGTGCTGTGTGAGTCTGAAGAGGAATTTATGGACTAGTAATGGACATATGGGATAATATCAGACCTATAGATTTGATCTGGACTGGGCTGGGATGCTTTCTTAATGTACAATTACTCTGATATAAAACTCTCTCTCACACACGAGTGCCTATGAATTTGTTTCTCTAGCCAACCCAGACCAACACAAGGGTTTACTATCGAGAATATATAAAGAACTCCCACAATTCAACAACAGAAAGAAACAAACTTTTTAAATGGGCAAAGAACTTGAATAGAAATTTCTCTAAAGAATATATACACATGGGCAAGCATGTGGAAAGATGCTCAGTATCACTAGTCATTAGATAAATACACAACCACAATAATATACCGATTCATGGCCCCACTGCCATCGGGTTGATTGCTACCCCTGGCCACCATTCAAAGGGTTCCAGTGCTGTGTTAATTCTTTGCAGGAGTAGACAACAGCATATTCACAGCCCCTCCCCAACGGCTGGTGGGTTTGAACCACTGGCCTTGCAGTTAGCAGCCCAATGCCTCATGCACAGCGCCACCAAGGATTCTTTCTCTTACCCACGAAGATGACTAATATGAGAAAAAACAAAATAACAAGTGTTGAGGAAGCTGTGGAGGTCCTAGAACTCGCTTCCACTGCTACCGAGCACGTAAGACAGGGCAGCAGCCACAAAGAGCAATGCGCAGTTCCTCAAAAGGCTGAGCACGGGAATCATTGTCCAATCCCAAACCAAAAAACCTAACTCCTTGCCGCCAAGTCAGTTCTGATTCACAGCAACCTGCGAGGACCAAGGAGGGCCACCCCTGTGGGTATCCCAACTATAACTCTCTGAGGGGGAGCCCTCGCGGTGTAGCGGTTACTCTCTGGATTGCTGCCCACCAGCTCAGCAGTTCCAAAGCACCGGCTGCTGCTCCTCAGGAGGGCAAGGATTTCTGCTCCCATGAGGAGTCACAGCTTCAGAAACTCACGGTGGCAGTTTCTCCCCGGCCTACAGTGTGAGGTGGAAACGCTCTATGGCAGTGAGTTTAGGTCTGATTATGTGTTTTTTAACTCTTTACAGGAGTAGAAAGCCTCATCTTTCTCCCTCAGAGCAGCTGGTAATTTCAAACTGCTGACTTTGCAGTTAGCAGCCCAACACATAACCTACTCCACCACCAGGACCCAAAACTCACTGCCATAGAATCAATCCCGACTCACAGAGACCCTATGTAAGATTTCCAAGACTGTAAATTATCATGGGAATACAGTCTCATCTTTCTCCCTCAGAGAGGCTGGCTGGTTTGAAGCACTGACCTTGTAGTTAGCAGCCCAATGCCTATGAATTACCATATGACTCAACAATTCCACTCCTATGTATGTGCCCAAATAACTGGAGAGTAGGGACTCAGTTACCTATAAACAAACGTCACTGCAGTAGTCACAATAGTCAAGAGGAAGAAACAAGCTACTTGCCCATCAACAAATGAAGAGAGTAACAAGATCTATATAACTCACACAATGTAATATCATGCAGCCATAACAAAATACAAAGTTCTAGTACATGCCGTAACACAGATAAATCTAGAAAATCTACTCTAGCTTAGCAGTTCTCAACCTGTGGGTCACAACCCCTTTAGGGGTTGAATGACCCTTTCACAGGGGTTGCCTGATTCATAACAGGAGCAAAATTACAGTTATGAAGTAGCAACAAAAATAACTTTATGGTTGGGGGTTCACCACAAGATGAGGAACTCTATTAAAGGGTCGCAGCATTAGGAAGGTTGAGAACCACTGCTTTAGCTGTAATAATTCAGACACAAGGGTACATGGCCCACTTTTGTGAAATACTCAATAGACAAATGCAGAAAGACAAAAGTTATTAGTGGTTACCAGGGGTGAGAGAAGGGAAAACAGAGCGTTACTATTTCAGAGGTTTGGGACTTATGTTTAGAGGGATTCAAAGGCATTTGAAAATGGATGTCAGGAATGACAATATCACTGACCTGTGATGCCATATGATACTTAAAAATTATTCAAAGGGCTAATGTTGCTATATATTTTACCAAAATTAAAAAAAAATTAGATGGCCAAGAAGAGAAACATGAAGACTGCTTAGTAAGCTACCTCAGGAGACCTGTGGGAGGGAAGACGGCAGCCTGGGCTGATGTTATAGCAGAGGTGAAACAACTCGGGCTCAGTGACGGACTACATCTGAAGGGCCAGGAAGAGAACAACACTGAGAAGGATGCCTAGGCTTCCGGCCTACGTAACTGGATGGATAAAGATGCCATCACTCAGAGAGAAAACACCCCAGATGATCAGGTGGTCTGTTTTGCTTCACTGAAGGGGAAGGATGTTACATGCCTACTATCTGGGGAAATAGGCTCGGAGTTCTAAGTTGAGCTAATGCCAGTTCCTGTCCATGTACATCCTTTAAAAGGCAGGCAAGGTTTTGGCGCTGGGGTCTGCCCTAACAAGCCCAGATATTCCTGTTCTTCCCAATGACCTAAACTCTTTAAACTTCTCAACACAGAAGCTCTCAATCAAAGGGAAAAGTGACTTAAAATGCAATTCTCGGGAGGATACAGAATCGACAGGGAAAGGCTGCAAAGGATCTACTGGGATGCTTCCTCATTTTGAGAGGGAAGAAACGGCAGAGGCTGACTTCTTGGGCAAGGTGGAATGAAATACCAATCAGGGGGACAGGAAAGCAGAAAGAAAAGGCTGGTGAACCCTCTTTCCCCATTTCCAGTTTGGATGTGGCTATCTTCACCTCTGGACAAATGGTTGTTCTTGGCCTGGTGTGTGGAGGGAATGCAAAAATAGCTCCACACCTAAGTCCCAGGGCAGAAGCAAATAACGGCTTCCACTGCCACCAGGCGGCGGCAGTGGGGAAGTACATCAACCAGGTTCCTGGAGTCTAGGAATGCCTACTGCATGCTACTGAAGCCCTGGTAATGCATGTAAGATCAAAGACCTACAGAAGGTAAACTGCTGCGTGTCCTTGGTCTGAAACAGATCTTCTACATCAACAAACAAAATTGAACTTTTCACGATTAACTTAGAGTCAAAGGAAGTACTTCTCTCTCCTTTTCCATGTTTAAGATAGCATAGTTAGCAAGTCTAGGCCACCCTGTCTGATGCTATTGTCTCCATCTCAACACCTGGCATAGTTGGTATTTCTTAATTTCTAACCGTCTCAATTTGAAGTTTAAGGGTGTATCTAAATGAGTTCGCTCGTGTCCATTTCTAGTCCGAATCACAGCCTTCTCACAAACATACACAATGGTCTCGATGGATATGCAGAATTCCCTTTGTGATCGCCAAGCCAAGCAAAGAATACTTTTTAATGACTTAGAAGTCCTTGGGCCTGGAAGTAAACACATTCAAAAACCATCAGGTTCTCAAAACTCATCAGCCAAACAAATATACCACAGATACCATCAACTTCAACATTGCTCACAAGAAAACAGAGTCAATGGCACCATTCCTGGTACTTCTCTTCATGGTAAAAGTCAGCTTGCCCTATATATCGTTAATATTCTGTGCCTTATGTCATTCTCTACATCTCTTCCACTACACTGAATCGTTACTTAAACCGTGCCCCTACACATATTTATGGGTTTGGTTTGGTTTCTCTCAAGACATCTGAACTGACAGATTAGGGCTTTTAGGCCAAAACAGGGAATAAATGCATTTGGACACATTTGGCCAGTTCTCAATCAGTTGTTTCTATACCGTGGATACATCATCCTAATTGTGTCACTAGGTAGATGTGTGATCTTTGTTTTCACTCGCCCTTAAAATCCAGACACCACTATCCGAAGTCTGTCTCTGGACATTGCAAAATAGTTAATAATTCGTGTTTGTTTGTTTGTTTGTTTGTTTGTTTAAAATCCTCCAGGTTCTGTGTCCCAGCCCCTACCAATTAGGCCACTTTCTCCTCCCTTTCTTCCGTGTCAGAATGGCTAACTCGCTCGCACACTCGGGGTGTTCTTTCCCAAGACGACTTTTTGGAAGACGTTTCCGCCTCCTCCTCCTTCTTCTCCTCCTCCTCCTCCGGTCAAGGTAAAACCCTTTCGGAAACCATTCCCCAATGAGGCGCCAATGCCTTTCTTCTCCAAGATCAAACGGCGGAAGGGGAGGAGAATGGGAATGTCACGGAGACAACGTCCTCTCCTAAAACACAACTCCCGGAACAGAGTTTTTATTTCACGGAACAAAAATACTTGTCCGTCGAGGTGCCCCAATTTCCTCTCTGACCTCAAAGACACATCCCCATAGCCTCTAGTCCCCCAGCCCCCACCCCGTCCCTCCGCGACGCGCGGGGCTTGCCTTTCCCCCTGGCAAGAGACAGGGAACCAGGGAGAAAAGAAAGGGTGGCAGCCACCTTCCCGCCGCGCCCACCCCTCCGACTCACCTGGCAGGTGCGGCCGCCCGGAGAGTTGCACGAAGCGGTTGAGCTGGCCGGTTCCCCGACCCCCGCTGCCCCCACTGCCCCCGCCGGCCCCGCTACCTCCGCCGCCGCCTGCGGCGCCTCCTCCCCTCCGGCGGTTCCTGTCCCAGCCCTGGGCAGCCGACATGACCCGCTAACGACTGCCGCAGCCCGGTCTCGGCAGCCCCTGGCCCGGTGGCACCAGCGGAGCCTCCTTCCAGGGCTCCTCAGGAGACCTGGGAGACAGGGGAAGGGGGGAGCGCCCGGGCCTCACCAGTAACCAATGGCAGACCGTCTTGGTGACAGGTAGCCAATAGACAGTCGTCTTCTTTGCAAGTGGAGGGAGGCGGAGAGAGACGTGGTAACCATAGCTATGGCTAAAAAAAAAAGTCTGGGGAGAGAAAGACAGAAGCAGCCACTCGTCACTCGCATCGACCGTCTCGGAGGCTCCTGCGAGGTCAGGCGGGCCAATCGAGGGCCGAGTGAGAGAGGCCAAGCCTGCAGAGAGATTCCCAGCGACTGCTGTGAGCACTTAAGATCCAGGAACACTTTCCCAAAACATTGAAATCAAAGAGGATATGCACATAGTACACACATGTGGGGAAATACAGTGCGAAGATGGCTGACATCTTTTTTCTCTGGTTGTTGCACAAAGAGTTCTTGGGGAATGGGGAGTGGGGAGAGGTGAAAAAAAAATGGTTCGAGTTAAAGATTTAAAAGATAGGAATGAGGTATCCCCGTCTTTCATTTGTCCTGTCTTTCAGTCAAATTGGACGTACTCTTCCCAATACAAGCCACGTCCCAAGTAAAAGAACGTTTTAAAAGCTAGTTAACACGCATGGAAAGATGTTCTATCTCACCAGTAGTCGTAGAAATACAAACTAGACCGCAGTAGAAACCATGGCTGGCTTATTGCCTTGGCAGTTGCTGCTGTTGTTAGGTGCCGTCCAGTCGAATCCAAGCCACAGCAATCTCATATACAACAGCAGGAAACGACAGCCCAGTCTTGCCCCAGACTCGGCATCTTCCTTCTGTCTGGGCCCATTGTTACAGCTATTGCTGAACTGGTTTGTGCTGACTCTATCCAGCATGATGGCCTTCTCCAGGGACTGGTCCGGACTGATAACATGGACAAAGGATGTGAAAGCTTAGAAAGAAGTATCTTGTGATTCTTCCAGGACAAATTTGTTCATTTTTCTGGCAGTCCCTGGTATGGGACACTAGGGGCAGCATCCACTTGGTGACCGTGAGTTTGTAGTTGGGTCAGGCACTGCTTGTTGTTAGGGGGGACCCAGTTGGTTTTGAATCATAGTGACTTATGTCCAACAGAACTAAACACGACCCGGTCCTGTGCCATCCTCACCGTCGTTCTTATGTTTTAGATGGAGGGAACCGTTGTGTCAACCCATCATGTGGGGGGGGGGTGTCCTTTTTTCCTCCTGTCCCTCTATTTTATCAAGCCTGGTGTCCTTCTGGGGAACTGGTATCTCCTGAGAACATGCCCAAGAGATGTGAAACAGACTCATCATTCTTGCTTCTTAGGAGCTTCTGGCTGTACTTCTTCCAAGACATATTTGTTTGCCCTTTTGACAGTCCATGGTACTTCCGATATTCTTGGCTAGCACCGTAATTCAAATGCATTCATTCTTCTCTGGTCTTCCTTTTTCAATGTCCAACTTTTGTGCGGGGAGGTCAGATCCGCAGGCATTCCCCCACTGAGGGCAATCAGTTGCCAGACTGCTGTCTCATCCCTCCACAGGGGTGGGCCTGCTCCCTGCCTCTGGGGACAATGGGCAGGCTCCTGTAGGAGGAGTTCGCATCCTACTGATAATGGTCTCTATCAGTTGGGCCAGGGACAGGCCAAACCGGCTGTCCCTCTTCCTACTGCATGTATGCCCCTAGACCACCCCCTCATTACTGTGTAATCTATAGTGCAGCCCCTTCCTGTGACGTATGTCTCTACCTGTAATTAGTGGGCTGGCTTGCTCCCAAAAGGTATATAGGTGTGAGTCAGCAATATAGATCTCTCTCTGACTCTGAGCTCCTTGCTGCTCACTCCCTGGTCACTCCCCTCTCCCTTGTTCCCTTCCCCTCCTTCCCTTCCCCCTCTCTCCACGTGGACCACCAAGCTAGGCTGAGGTGAGCAATGGTACCATGTAACATGCCTGACTGTATTGTTGTATTATCTCTCATGCTCTCAATGACTTTAATATAACGCTTATATATCTCAACCGTACAATTGTGCATTACTGAATCCGAGTAGTCGTAATAGTAGTAGCAGCGGGTGGGGGCTGGCACCCCACTCCCCTGTGCCACATTTTTAATTTAATACTGCAAACTTTCACATGCATATGAAGCGATTGAAAATACCATGGCTTGGATCAGGCACATCCTAGTCCTCAAAGTAACATCCTTGCTTTTCAACACTCGAAAGAGGTCTCGTGCAGCCCCAGTGACCATCATAAACTCACAGAGGCAGTGCTACCCTGTCTAATAGAGTTGCTATGAGTAGGCATTGACTTAATGGCAATACATTTGGAGGGCTTTTTAGTGCAGATTTACCCAGTGCTATGTCCTTTGATTTCTCCCTCTCTCTCTCTCTCTCTCTGCCTCCTCCTCTCTCTTTCTTTTTCCCCCCTCCCACCCCACTACTTCTTTTGATCTCTTGACTGCTGCCTCCATGAGCATGGATTGTGGATCTAAGCCAGACAAACTCTTAACAACTTCACTGTTTTCTCCATTTATCGTGATGTTGCCTATTGACTCATGGTGAGCCCATATGTTAAAGAACAGAACTGTGCCGTGCCGTAAGGTGTTCCTGGCTCTTAAGGAAGTCAATTGTAGTGCAGTGAAATTTCTTCCTATGGCTCTTCTACTCAAGACCCTGTAACTACTCCAAAAGGTTGGGTGGGATTATACAAACTGATAAGGGGATGGGTCAAGTTTTGATACCACCTCCCTAGCTTTGAGGATGAGCCATCTTTGAAACAGTAGCAAAGAGAGAAACGTGGATGAGCACGTTCAAGATCTCTGGAGTGGTGGAGGCCACCAAGACCAGATGGCCTGTCGACTGTGGCACGGACTCAGAGCAGCAGCGAAGAGACTGTGAGCTGCCTTCTTCTTACCTGGCCTGAGACTATGGAACTGTGGGACAGAGTGACAGGTGGGCTGCCTTCCTGACCCATAGAGGAAAAGACTAAGGCATCGTGTGGCTGAGAAACTGAAGATCAGAGAGAGATTTAGCTACCACCTGACTCTGTCCACATGAGAAGTGGAGAGGCGTGGCTGTTGCCGGAGGAGACCAATGATGGTATCTCTACTGTTTGCTGATCCTGACTCGTGCTCACCTGTTATCTTCCCTGATAACCTTTCTCAATGATGAGTGTTGTCTGTGAATTCTGTGCGGCCACTGGAGTGAATTCTGGAGTTCAGCAGAGATGTAGAATGGTGGGGTGGTGGGCGGGGAGGGGGGGCGGGGCGGTGGGGGTGGTCGGAACAGGTGTCAGAATAGGTCAAAGAGGGTGAAATCTGGAGGCTCCCTCATGGCACTAGGGAGGCCAGAGGAAGTCAGAGAAGGCCTCCAGACCCCCACTGTCGGAGTGGATTCCAATTGTCCCTAAGTGGGTGCCAACTGCCAGCCCAGGAACTCCCTTTGCTTCCTTCCACAAAACCAGCATTGAAGCTTCCCCGTTTCCTTGTGCTGCTCCCAGAGTGAAGGCCTAAATGTGCCTTTGCAGCTTGGGGGGGAACACTGATCCCGGGTTTCCCTATGCAAAGATAAACTCAAGATGTTCAGGCAGAGGAGGGAGGAAGGGAGAGCATTCTGTATGAGGAAACAAAGGTGGTGAAAAGTGACTTCCAGGGGAGGGGCCAGTGAAGGGTTTATGTTTTCAGAGTTGATCGCCCCGTCAGCAGATCTGGACGGAGCTTCACCGTGAAGCCTGTGCGTGCTGCCAGAGTTTGGGTCTCACCGGTTTTCACCTTTCACAAGGTGCAGTCCTACCATTTCTGTCACTCTTTGTTAGTGGGAACTATTTTAGCTTTCTTTCAGATGACTTTCCACCTTCTGCAAGTTTCAGCTTTTTTTTTTAAACGATTACATCAGTGGTTCTCAACTTTCCTAATGCTGCGACCCTTTCATACAGTTCCTCATGTTGTGGTGACCCCCCCCCCCAACCATAACATTATTTTTATTTTTCTTTTTTAATCATTTTATTAGGGGCTCATACAACTCTTATCTCAATCCATACATACATCAATTGTGTAAAGCACACTTGTACATTCATTGCCCTCATCATTCTCAAAACATTTGCTCTCCACCTAAGCCCCTGGCATCAGCTCCTCATTTTTTCCCCTCCCTCCCCGCTCCCCTCTCCCTCACGAACCCATGATAGTTTATAAATAATTGTTTTGTCATATCTTCCACTGTCATAAAACTATTTTCGTTGCTACTACGTCACTGTCATTTTGCTACTGTTAGGAATCGGACGACCCCCGTGAAAGGGTCGACTCCCAAAGGAGTGGAGACCCACAGGTTGAAAACTGCTGTGCCATCAAGGGTGAACCCACCTATGTAGGCAAGAAGCTCAGGGGAAAGGCTTATTATTTTCATCTTCGACCTGCGACAGGAATGGACCACCCGTCGTCACACTGGATGTGTTTGGATGCAGAAGGACTAAAGACTGGAGATCTCATTGCACTTCGAATGTCAAAGCAATTGCGTCCTGGCCCGGTGGTTACTGTCCAGTGCTGTCAGGCCCTCTGGATTGTGTCCTTCCCAGCACAGTTAAGTAAACCATTTGATTTTCTGATTCAGAATAAATCATCAGTCCATTTCAGTTCACTAAAGCCGCAGATGTCAACTCGTCGGCTTCCCGTTTCGTTTTTTTACCACTTCCGATTTTCCTAGATTCATACTTCTGACGTTGGCAGCTCTTGCTTCTCATTTTGAGTCGTGCTCATCAGCAAATGAAGGTCCCGAAGGCTTCCCTCCCACTGGTTTGACTGCATGCAGGCCATCATGGTCGACTTGACCTTGAGAAGGCAGCTCTTCCTCGGTCGTTTGTTTGAGTGCCTTCCGATCTGAAGATTCCTCTCTCTGATCACAGTCCCTCCGTTTCTCAGTATCTGGCAATGTTTTGATTCTGTCTATAGGTTTTCCGTGCTAATTCCTCAGAAGTGGACAGCCGATTCCTTCTTCATCATCTGTTCCTAGTCTGCA